TATATTTTTTTTTTTTTTCCTTTAAAATAATATCGAAAGTTTCGATTCATAATCTGATACACAAATCATACTATGTTTGAATTGAAATAGTCAGTTTTACCTTATCTGCCACTGGATCCAAAAAAGCACCAAATTGAGTACCCAATTTCATCTGTAACACCATTGTTGTAACACAAACATGTCGGTTAGTGAACAAACAAAGCTAATTGGATGCATTGATGAAATTTAAGGTTGAACAGTCGGCACCTTTCTCGCAAGGTATCCATCGAGCCAATCTGTAGTGGCAGCGGCAAGGAAAATTCCTACTGTGGCATTTGGTCCCCACCAGCTCTCAACATAAAATGCTAAAGAGCATATATAATTTCATCAAGATACACTCAACATGAAAACAGCCAACATTAGGTTGACTGAACAAGATACCAATCAAAATAAAGACGGTATGAAACTGCATAGAACCTAAACCCATCAGTACATTGCATGGTATCTTCTAATGGATAGAAATGAACAATAATAACTATCACTTTCAACATTTTTCATCATCATTTGTAAAGCTAATAACTCGTTCAAGCATTCAACTGCTGGACCAAATCAGCAGAGACGAAATAAAACAATTAGGAGATGTAAAATACAGAAGGTATGAAACCGCATAAAGCCTAAATCCATCAGTAACTTCGCATGTTACCTCCTAATGGATAAAAATATCTGAAAAAACTATCTCTTTCAACATTTTACATCATCAGTTGTAAAGCTAATAACTTTTGTTCGACCGTTCAAGTTCTGGATGAATTAATCCAAAATCAGCAGATACGAAAACAAAATAAATTAAGAGATTGTAAGGTTCAGCGCGTACTGTAGACAAGCAGGGGCACGGCAGCTACGCGGCAAATCGTCAGGATCGTAGGCAACGTGAGTAATTTATTCGGATCCACCGGTGGCTTCTCCCCGCAATTTGGAGGCGGCGACGCGTCGGATTTGTTGCATTCGCTTCCGGCCTTCCCGTGAACGGTTGCACCCATCTGAGTCCCGCGATGGAAATGGCCGTCCCGACCTCCGTTCCTAGAATGGGATGTGAAGAAGCATAGATTCCGAGGGTGCGTCCGATTACGGAGAAATCTATCGTCGAAATGCGCGGCGGCTGCGCATGGACCTACGCCGTACCACCTGCCGGAAAAGAGCTTGAGCGAGGGGATTTTTCTCGAATTGACGGTGGCGGATGCGGAGGAGGCAGCGGCGGCGGGTGGAGGGAAATTGTTGAGGAACTTGTAGGGTTTGTGGGCGTGAAGGGTAGTGAATTTGGTGAGTTTGAGGGTGGCTGGCATGGTTCGATTTGCTGAGCACAAAAGGGCTCAGGTTAGCGAGAAGGGAATGAAATCTTGATAATTGAGTTTTGATCCATAATTTATTGAACATTACAAGTTTACCCATTCCATTTTCAATATATTGAGTTCTGTTAATTCTACTACTCAATTTGATAGTTTTATAACATTTAGGCTCCGAATTGAGGAAAAAAAATATATATATATCTTTCAGACCCCAATTTGATAGTTTACCCATCTTTCGGGTCTTTTATTGAAAAAACTTCATTTAATTGTTTAATATGTTGACCGCTTCGACAAGGACAAAAATAAAGACAGAAAATTCAACCTACTGGTTATTGCAGTACGATGTTTTTTTTTTTTACCGTTGGATCAATACATATAAGAAATTTTTACAACCAATTCTCAAAAAATATTATTTTATGATAATACTAGATGCAATTCTAAGAAAATTTTTCCCTAATTGTGATGATCATGTTGAAGGCTGCAGGGAGTTCATAACGCATTGTGGAAAACATTTAATTGGGATGAAGGATGTGAAAGTCCTTACAGATGATGAAGATGTTTCCTTAAGGTTGAAGGCTGCAGAATCCTTTGTTGGTAACGGCAAGAATCTAGCTGATAATATTTATTTCATGGCAGATCTGGCTTATGTTTGTAAATTTGACTTTGATTGTTCTGATTCAGTTATCTTTGTTCTAATTTGGCTTTAGATGCCGTTGTGTCGAAATATAGCCGGGAGTGGCATGTCTGATTGGGTTAGGTTTATCTTTATGCCTAGCTTTGTTTGTGATCAGTGGATCACCGAATGTACTTGGACCTTGTTATTTTTTTAGAGTGCAATTTATCTATCGTTTGCAATTTATCTATCGTTTGACTTTAAATTCCAGTGCTTCTTCTATTAGTAAAGTTTCTAGAAAAAAAAAATATATCAAACGACGCAATGCACCTTGGGTCGCTACGGAAACAGCCTCCTTGTATAATTGCAAAGGTAAGATCTACGTACAACTGACCCCCCAGACCCCAACCAGTTGGGAATATACTGGGTATGTTGTTATTAATTTATCTATCGTTTGAAAAAAAAAAAAATAAATAAGAAAGAGAGGTCATTAACAAGTCACAAAAAACTATGATCACCTGTACATATGAAACTGCATACATGGAAAATTGCAATAGCAAATTGCAAACGAAAGTCATGTCCAAGTTTCAATCCATTAATCAAGAATCATACAGTTTGATCATCTGAATATAAATACAAAATATGACTGCACTATTACAACAAATGGATGCAAAAGCTTCCACCCAAATTCAAGAAAAAAAAATTATAAGTACTACAAGTATGCACTGCAGTAGTGTTTTAGACAGCCCATCTGTGTTAACAAAAATCTACATGCAAAAGCCCCTCATAATCCGAAATCGCTAACGATGCGAAAGGCTTAGTTTTTTTACCAATCTCAAGAAATGTGATGTAACCTCACAAGGATACAAAATCAAGATTCGAAAGGCTTAGTTTCTGTACTAAATCTCAAGAAATGTGATGTAACCTCACAAGGATACAAAAAAGCAAGAACGGATTATACAACGAAGAAAAGGATTTGACCTAAACGACCTACGATGCATAACATTCACAAAATTTATAATGGTATGATTTGACAAACCGTATTTTTTTTTTCTTTTCATTTCTTTTTTCATTTTTTTAATAATCGGAGCAAGAATTGCGACACCTTGACAAACGAGCCATCAACAAACTAAGACAACTCTCACGATCATTGCTAAACTCGTACTGTCCCTTTTCTTTCAGACAAGAACGGAAAAACATCCTCAAAATGCCACTTACGTGTTACGAGGGTAGAAAATCCTTGTACTCATCCAAAGATGATAATTTTAATTTTCTTCCTTTCCTCCCTTTGTCTCTCTTCTCCCTTTTTCTGTTGCTATGTGTACCTTAGCTCTCTCTGAATTCTTGGAGTGGACGATTGGGCCGGCTGTTGGGCTTCTGGGTCGTATTTTTGGGAAGCAAGATAAGTTAGGGCCGTGACAACATCCGCAATCAAAGGCCGCATGTTGGGCTGTTCTTGCACACACATTGCAGCCACAGCAAGAGCCTGATAGAGACCGCGGGCCGGATATCGGCCTTGGAGCGTGGGGTCAGCCATCTGAGAGAACTTTCTGCGGTCTTTGAACAACGGGCGAGCCTGCACTAAATGGACTCGGGTTAGGCATTCGTCCTTGTTTGGGGCAAAAAAAAAAAAGAAAAAGAATGAGATTTGGAGTGTGAATTTTGCAATGTCTAAAAAGAAATGTTTGGGTATTTTGTGGTAATTAACTCTTCTAAAAAAGGGCGAGGAAATTTTTTATTGTAGTTTATAACTCGGAATTCCTTAGAATATCAAGAAGATATTCTTATCGTCTTTTATAGAAGAATTGCAAAAATACATTAAGGGTGAACTGATAGATTTTGGGGACTCCAACAAAAAAAATCATTTAAGGGCCTAACAACAATAACATCAATATTAATACAATTGAAGACTAAAATAAACTGTTGATACCCAAGACACCTCTGCAAATATTTTCTTTATTTATTAAAAAAGGTTGACATCTTCCATGACAAAACTTTTTCATATGTTAAACAAGAGCACGCCCAGGTTATATCACAAACAACTGTTCGTAAAAATATCAAGAAAGCTAAATAAAACCACAATGACAGTATGAGCAAATGAAAACAAATAGATAGAATAAAAAACGAAAAATAAAACGAATGTCTAGAGAAACTTATAAACTTACCCATGCAACGAGATTGTGCTCCCCAGCAGCTCTTGAATTATCAATAGCCCTTCTGCCAGTAATAATCTCCAAAAGAACAACTCCAAAACTATAAACATCCGATTTCAAGGTCAGCTGGCCAGTCATTGCATATTCAGGTGCACAGTATCCATAAGTCCCCATCACTCGAGTTGAAACGTGCGTTTTATCACCAACTTGTCCCAATTTGGCCAACCCAAAATCCGAAAGCTTGGGATTGTACCCCTCGTCTAATAATATGTTGGAGCACTTTAAGTCCCGATAAATAACTGGTGGGTTAGCTTTATCGTGCAAATACTCTAGGCCTTTTGCGGCCCCTGCAGCTATTTTCATCCTTGTGTTCCAGTCGAGCCTCTTTTGGTCAGAGGGAAGGTCTGGTCAAAGGGAAGATCAAGCTATCACCCATTATCTTCTATATTTTTCACTTCTATTGATGCATTGAAAAGTAAACTGGAAACAATAATAACCTATAATGCATCATCACTCATAAACTCTTGGCATCGTTAACTGCAGTAGAACTTCAATAGTTTTATATTCTTGATTAATTTAAAGCTTCAGATACATAAAAATTCTAGTATGTTTCAACTTTGTGATAATGTGGTAAAATGATAGTTCATTTACAAGATAATACATGTACGGTAACTTATATATAACTCATACATAATAAATGAATAGTGTCTCGAAATAGAGTACACTTATATTTACTTTGAGAAGGTTTCGTTAAAAAATGAGTTTTGTCATATTTATGTCACCTAATATTTATAGATAATAGATACATTGAAACACTTTTGTTGAAAATGGCCGACATAATAAAATAAACACACACAATTTATGCATTATGCAAACAATAATGCATGGATGAATAAATAAGTTTTTAATTAATGAACAATATTACAAATACCGTGCAAATGGTCTTCCAGCGATCCGAATGGCATGAATTCATACACCAAAAGTCTTTGATCTCCATCGGCACAATAACCAATCAAGTTGACCAAGTTTGGGTGGTGAAGCAAACTTAACATTAAAACTTCAACAAGAAATTCTCGGTTCCCTTGCAAACCATTACGATCAAGTTGCTTTATAGCCACAACCTGTAGAAAATCAGGTAATAGGTTGTAAGAAAATTGATTGCTAAGATGCATTAGTAATTGAAGGTACATAATTCAATTGTATGCACGAATTATTTCAGTCTTGAGTGAGAAACAAAAGCACTTAAACATTTCTCCTAATCTTCAGAGGTGAAAAAAGCATCAACTTATTTCAATCCAAAAAGTTTGACCTTCAGCATAAAAAACGACATTTGCCATGGACGGAAAAGAAACCCTTGTAACAACTTGTCGATCTTGTTTCTAGTTCTTAACTAAAAATATTAAGAAAGCTCTCCTATAGGTGATTATCACTTATGGAAAGTTTTTTTTTTTTTTTTTTAATTCCAACAAGAGCAGTCCATAACTTCTTTTACAAAGTTATCTAAGTTTCGTAAACATCAAAAACACTTCAAAGAATAAACTCAATTTGACACATTTTTTTAAATGGAAAAATAACAAACCTGGCTAGTGCTCTCTAATCGCCCTTTATAAACTCTTCCAAATCCACCTTCGCCCAAAAGACAATCCGCCCTAAAATTCTTAGTAGCCGTAGCCAATTCACGAAAGGTAAACGTGTGTGCAGCAATATGCCCAGACCCTCCGTCTTTAAAAGCTTCCTTCTTCAAGTCAAATGAGGGATTTGCCTTCAGCTTTTCTGCCACGAGATCAAGCAAATCAAGATCACCAAACCAAACAGAAATAGATAAATTCACATATTTGCAACAACTAAAATCAAGAAAAATTGTAATACATGAGAGAACTAGAGTGGGCTGACAATATTTTTTTTCTTTCTAAAAAGCATATCTATCTTTAAGTCATCACTTAAACTTTACTCCAAACCTCACCAAGGAACTTAGAGGGTATATGATATCTAGCACCAATCGATCAAATGCCAAAAGCTTAGGAGTGAAGCTACCTACAATGGCAGTTCACCATGTTCGATCTTCAAATGAANNNAAAAAAAAAAAAAAAAAAAAAGAGAAAAGTTTGTGACAAGCATAGTATTAATCTGAAAAGCTCGAACCTTTACTTCATTAACGAATTCACCCAGACCTCATCTCAGAGCAGAACATCATGCCATTGTATATATAACAACTTCACTACATTTATATACATACATATTCACACAGACACATAAATTAAGCATTTGCACCATATCTAGTTGAATCAAGAANNNNAAAAAAAAAAAATCAGAAATAATCTAGCCATAGGTACGTTCACATCCTAAATGAGGCAACCAAAATGCAGAAAACCAACGGATGTCTTTAAAAACACGTATAAGGCACTTTCATCTCCTAAATGAGCCTAACGAGAATGCAGAAAAATCAAAACTTTATCTGACGCATAAACACACATTTAATTATATAAATGAGCGAAGGAGGGCCTCAGCACAGAGAAGCTAAAATCTTGAAAGCCCATTATTAATCCCAAAAATCTTCGCTGAAAGCAAAAGCACTAGTTTCGCAAGCACCTATATTTGACGGGATCTGATCATCAGACTTCTTGCCCCGTCCCTTGTTTGCTTTCTTCTTTAATCTTCCAGAACAAAGAAACCAACCCATTTATGTAGCCTCTCTCTCTCTCTCTCTCTCTCTCTCTCCCTCTCTCTCTCTCTTTACTGTACCACTGAGTGTGTGAACTATGTGTAAATACTCAGTAGCGATAAGAAAGGAGTGACACTTTTGAAGAGAAGGGTAAAAGGAGGAGACCCTTGAAAACAAAAGGGTTGGTCCAATGAAAGCTAACCAAGCAAAATTTCAAGAGAGTAGAGAGAGGGAAAGAGAGAGAGGGAGGGAGATGGCTGAGGTCGGCCATGAGGCTCGTTTGGTATGTGCCTTTTTAACCTGTGTGTCGAGTTTGCATTGGGTGACCCCTTGGTTGCTGGTATATTCTTGGACTGACCCCAACATTTTTCGTATCATAAAATTTTGACACCCAAGTGTTTGGAATTTGCAGGTGAATAAATATTTGATTTTTTTTTTTTTTTTTTTTTTTTTTGTAACGACTGAAGGTCTCACGTTCACTTCGAGACTTCACCACGAACTGCCAGCTCTGCACGGAGCCACATCCATAGGTGTGGGACTAATCGTCCAAGAGGAGTGATGTGCCCCATCCCTACTCTCCACGATAGCCAAGTTCGATCTCCTGATCTTCGCTTTCACATGAAGTTTCACTCTCACACTAAGTCAATTGACTATATACCCAGGGGCATGCAAAATGGGAAGAAATCAAAAAATCGATTTTGGTACTCCAATGTAAAATGGGAAAAAATTGATTTTGGTACTCCAACTATACTCGTGTTTTACTTTCAGTACTCCATGTATTCACTTAGGGTGTGTTTGGTAAAACTAGCTGATAAGCTAGCTGATAGTTGATAAGCTAGCTTATAGCTTATATGTGATAAGCTAGCTTATAGCTTATAGCTTATGACTTATAGCTTATAAGCTAGCTTATATGATAAAAGTGTTTGGTAAAAGTAGCTTATAAGCTAGCTGAAATAAAAAATTCAACGAGCTTATTTTGAAACGCTACCTAAACAAGCTTATCAAATAAGCTCGAGCTTTTTAAATAAGCTCGTCCTACCAAACAGGGCTTATTTAATACATGAAGCTTATAAGCTAATCAAATAAGCTATAAGCTAGCTTATATGTCATACCAAACATACCCTTAATCAATTTTGATACTTGACCGTTAGTCAAATTTAGTCCAAACTAGTTAAAATTCTGTATTTAAGATAATTATTGAATTATATTATATGATTATAAATTCTTACCTCCACTACTTTTCCATTCAAAATTTCAAACTGATTTATCATAAATTTTACTACACGTGTTTATTATATTAACTAACTAGTTTTCAATAATTATCGTATAGACTAGCAATTATATGCTCGGAATAGATAAATGAATTGTTGATTAATTTATCAACCACTATGTAATGCTTTCATCTAAACTAGTACAGAGCCCGTGCGATGCACGGGGTGTACAATTTTAAGGTCATTTATCGAGTCTTATAATTATATAAATGAATTATAAAAAAATGTACGGGATATATATAGTATGTGACATGTAATAGGCCAAAATGTGAACACGGGTGATGCACGGAGTGCACAATTTTAATGTCATTTATTAGTACAGAGCTCGTGCGATGCACGGGGTGCACAATTTTCTAGTATGTGTAATAAAAATACATACCGTATGCACGGGACAAAAGCACTAAATGAGTCATTTCCACAGAGCTTGTCCGTTAAGTAGCTCCTGAACATGGATGCACAATTTGTAGTATGTACCATAAAATCAGAACAAATATCCATACAATTAGATAATAAATTAGATAATAAATAAAGTATTTTTTAGTTTGGTAAAGATTTTACATACTTTGTTTTTTTTTTAATTATCGGATGTTATGAGATTTATTTTGTTAAACCGATTTTATGGAATATAATACAAATACAATTAGAGGATTGAACAAAATCAGAACAAATTTTCATACAATTAGATAATAAAAAAGAATTGGATAAGGAAAAGAAGGAAATAGATAAGAAAAAGAATGAATTAGATAAAGAATTTTGAATCTGACTTTTTTTTTAAGTATAGATAGACTTTACGTACAAATTTTGACTTCACTGATTTTATGAAATTTGTTTTGACTAAATCGATGTTAATATGGAATAAGAAAAATAAATAAAGTCTTTTTATTTTAGTAAAGATTTTACGTCTTTTTTTTTACTTGTCAAATGTTATGGGATTTTTTTTTCTTAAACTGATTTTATGGGATATAAGATAAATAAATAAAATAATTAAATAAAATTCTGGAGAGAAATAGCAATGCATTAATTACGTTGACTTTTTAATCTACTAAATTTGGTAAATAGAATACCTTATATAATAAGTATAGATATACAAATAAATAACATGTCAAAATTTTAAAGAATAATTAATTTATTTAAATTTATTACCTAGCCATCAGTAATATCATTTAATGATGTGATCATTATCTCTTAAATGATAAATAAAATATTAATTTAAAAAAATATATATTTGTTTTTTATATACTCAAATAAAAATTAAAAAATACTATCGTCAAATATGAATTATAATATATGTAAGTAAAATTATTGCAGAAGTTAATAAAATTATTTAAGGAAATAATTTTTTTGATTATATTTGAATAGGAAATGTGTATATGCAAACAATTAATGCATATAGTAAAAAAATTTCAACTAAAGCATGCATTAAATGTGAGTTGACTTTTCTTGCTACTATTTTTGGTAAATAGTATGGCTTTTAATATAAGTATAGATTCATCAAACATGAGTATTTATTGATATGTACAATATAAAAGTTATCAACAAAAATTTGTTTTCTTGTTAAAAACACCGATCTTATTTTTATCCCAAAATATATTGATTTTAAGAGAAAATTGTTATATGACATTGTCTATCAATGATAAGATGTTATCACAAAACTGTAATACAATTGAGAAAATATCACATAAAAAAATTATTCATTGCAAAATAGGTCGGGAGCCTATACATGCTGAAAATCGAGATAATTGGAGGCCCTATGTGGTCAAACCAATTACACATGCAAAATAAATAGTTTTAAACCAATTAATAAGTGTGATGAGTTTTACAACAAATTGGTCATCACATAAATAATATTTGGTCAATTGTCTTTGGATTTTGAAAACTAAAAGTCGTGTTTTAACAGTCCTGCGTGGCTTCAATTGTTTGTCGTATAAATTTTGGGAGTATAACTTTCAAACATGTGTTGGTGTTATAGGCTGGTGGTGCATTGTATTGTACAACCAAGAGATTCATAGTTCAAATTTTAGATACGTGAGCCTGTTAGTGTGTTATTTATTTAGAGTGAGTTTATTTAGATTATTAGGACATCTAGTTAGTTTGGGAGTATATTTTTAGGGTGTTAGATATTTAGTTTCCATTAGATTGGTATTGGATACCTATTAAGATAAGTACTATATGTTTAGTCTTAATTTTTTTTTTTTGGTACAGGGATCTTCCGGTTTCCGGATCCACATGGGAACCGATTAATCCAGAATCGAGCCGGATAGGACCACAAGGCCGGCAAAGTTCTCTCTCAAGAGTTTTAACACTGCTGCATTCCCAGGGCTCGAACTCGAAACTACTGGTTAAGTTGGAAAAGACCCGAACCATCTCATTCAAGCGCTCTTGGGTAGTCTTAATTTTTTTTTATAAATACTTGTGTACTTATTCCTATCGCTTAGCGCGGGGCAAATCGAGTTAGGGAAATACATGGTCCTTCATCATATTCTCACTACACAAGACTGAAGAAAATCAGTAGCCCAAGGATGCGAAGGCACTGTATACGGCAGATAAAAATGGGGCTCACATCTCTCCCTTCACGCAGCAGAACCATTTTCTTCAATTTCTCCCAGCGATGTCTCTTCACGGTCGCCGGTAAGCCCAACCCCACCGCCGCCCCCTACTCCGTCGTCTTCCGCTCCTTGTCCACGTCTCGTGCGGCGTCATTTTTGCACCGGGATCATGGTTTCGTCTTGTCCTCGTTGTCGAGGTGTGTTTCCTCGATGTCGTCGTCGGCCGCATCCACTGTCTGGAGAAGCGACGCCGTCAATGGCCAGGAGAACGTTGGCCGACTGGAGGAGGAGGAGGAGGAGGAGGAAGATGACGGCGTTGGGGAGACTTCCAAGGCTACTATCCCCGTTAGGGCTTTTTTATTCTCGACAAGGTTTGTTTTTAATTTCTTGTTTTTTTTTTTATTCTTTCAAATTCCTGCTAAATTGGGTAAATTGCAATCAACTCTTGGTATCATATATATTATTGTCAACACCAATCTCGTAAGATTTTAGCTGCGTAAATTGGATGTTTTGTGGGAGAAAAAAAATAAAAAAAAAAATTGATGTTCTGCTGTGAATTGAGTTTCTGTTCCTTCATTTTTTTCATGTAACAGAGTTAATATGCATTCAGATTTTACAGACCGTGGGAAAAATTTCAATTTATTGGGAATGAAATTTGTAATTTTGATTCACACACACACACATTATGTAAATGTGTCAGTCTATGTATGCTTGTGGGTGTGTGTATATATATA